CTGATACATTGGGGAGGGTGATGTTGGGGGAGGTGATGCTCTGTTTGGGGGTTAATTTAGACATCAAGAGCACAGGCTTTGAAATCAGAGAGAGCAGCGATCAAATCCGATCACTTACTAGCTGTGTGACCCTCAGGCAAGTCTCTTAAGCCTTTCTGAGTCTGTTTCCCCAACTGTAAATTGGGGATAGGGGTACTTGCTACAAGAAGTTGTGGTGAATATTAAACAAGGGAGGCAAAACATTTAGGACAGCTCCTGGCAACATCACCCAGCTCCTAAGTGGCCATTGTAACCACATTCCTCTGAGGAACGCAGGCTGCAGGGAGTGTTTTGGGGAAGAGCACGGTGAAACGGAAAAAGGAGAAAAGGAGACTTTCTGGAGTTAGGCAGCCTTTATGGACCAGCATAAATCCCAGGTGAAACCCCCAAAAATGGTTACCTTGTTCCAATACCATTTCTAGGCCTGTCTCTGGCCACGCCCTCCTGTTGTACCGGGGCAGGCCTCAACAGCTCTTTAAAACTTGGAGGTTTTAAAAGTTAAATGTCTTTGAGGGCAAGAGAAACACACCAAAATAAACACATCTACCGGCTGGGCATTGAAAGAGAAACTTGGCAGGGGCCCCAGAACTTTCCCCACCCCAACCCTCCCTAAACTTCCTCTTGCGGTTTCTCAAGAGTACAACCTGTCCTCTCTCCCCAGGCAGAAGTGTGCCTGGAACAGGGGGCTGGGGCACCCAAAGGTCCCACCGTACCCTTCTATGATGAGGGAGGGTGTATATGGTGGTGGGGGGACTGAGGAGCAGCCTGGAGGCCTGCATACTTCTGAATGTCCACATCCTGCTTACCTGTTACCATCCCCCCAACACACACCCCTCTCTGAAAGACAGTGGTGGGGGTGGATTGACTGCAGGCAGAGAGGACAGCCTCAGGGCTTCCCCAGATCTGTGCAGAGGGCTCTTAGTGAGAAACCTAGTTTCAGAAAGGTAATGGGAAAATGGCTGGAATCCATGGAATCTCTGCTCCGTGGCCTGGTTCCTATAATGGGCCCTGTCCCAGCCTGCCTGGAGGTATGGGGACAGATCCACAGATGCACCTTTGGGATGCAGCAGCTGTGGAAAGGAGGTGAACATCTTAAGACTGCTTCCACTCCTTCGCAGTCTTCCCTACTCAGCTGCCAAAAAGGGCTGTTCCTCCTGGAATCTAGAATATGAGGGTCCCTGCTATTCTTAAAGATTCCCAACAAAAGAGGTGTATTGGTTTCCCACCTCCCAGATTCTGGCACATCACATCCATGCTGAGTTCTTCCTTGCATCAAACCTTGGTCTGTTCCTCTTGGTGAGTGAGGCTTAGGAAAAACGCGTAGTCATGCGCGCACAGAAACACACAACCATTAGGAGAGGATACCAGTTCTGTGCAGTCACCCCAGCCCTACCAATCCTACTCCAGACCTGCTGGGGCGCCCCGTAAATGGTATCAGCACACATGCTGAGCTAACAGATTACTCTCCTCTGTGTTACCCAAGACACAGAACCATGGAGTCCCTTTTGGAAACTCCTAAGCCCCTGGCTCCAGTGCACATTCTATGTGGTCAGTCAAGGAGGCAGGTTTTCCCAATGGTTAGAACAGGGACTTCCAAGTCAAAAGACTTAAGTTTCAATCCCAGCTCTGCCGTTTCCTTCTGGTGTCCTCTTTAGGAAAATTACTACTTTCCTACTTTGCCTGAGTTTCCTCCAGCTGCTTACCTCATAGGGACTATTCAGAGGATTAAATAAGACATTACACCTAAAACATTTAGAAGAGTACCTGACAGCTATATAAGCACGAGCTAGCATTCTGAGCCCTTGAGGGAAGGAAACAGGAAAGAGAAGGTGTGTGGGACCTTGGTCATGGTCTCAAGGACCAGGCATAGTCTGGGATCCAGCTGGAATTCTCGGAGATGCCTGTGATTCTAAATTCCAGAGGGGCGAAGCTCTGCCTTCTTTACCATTCTGGCCTCCACACCTAGCCTATGAGACAGAGTATGGCCACAGAAGGCAGGTGTTGAATGAATCCATAAATTGTTGTGCCAGCCATCTCCCAAAGGAGCCTGAGAATTGAAAGAGCAGAAATGCAATGGGAGAGCCGGTTCTCTTCACCCATGTCTGGTCTCAAAGAGAACTGCGGTGGGGGGTGTAGAGCATGGATTTGTTAAAGGAAACAGCCCTAGAGTCCAGGGATGAGGAGTGGGTGCCCCAAGATTGTGTGGACTGTTGCATAACCCCCAGGTGAACACTCCCAGCTGTACCTAGCTGATAATTTCTGAGTTTGGGGGGACCAGCCCTTTCCCTGAATTCATCCTGTTTATTACCACCTCTTCTTCATGCCTAGACAGGGGGTTAAATCTGGGTCCCCATGGTATCCCAATGCCCACCACTGCAGTCAGGGTTCAGTACAATTCTGTGGAATGGATTAAGTGTCTCCAAAGACTTCCCACCACTTCTCTCAGAACCCAACTCAAATGTCCTCTTCTCTCTGAAGCCTTCCCAGCCGCCCCAGCTCGATGCCTTATCTCTGTCATTCATGACCCACACTAGCTGTAGGTTAGTAACTTCACTGCACCCTCAGCATCCAAAACAATCCCAGATACACAGTAGGTGCTCCATCACTGCTTGGAAACAAATGCATTCATGTTCCCTAAATAACAGCAACTGCTTTCTTCAGTTATTCCTCTTGTTGACACAGAAGAGGCTAAGGCCATCATTTAGGTACCCATCAGACACCAGAGGATGAACACAGGGGTTCTTCCTTCCAATCCTGTCCCCCCTCGGCTCTGGCTGGCAGGAGAACCCGAAGGCTCCCTGCCCACACCGGTCCCGCCCTCCTACTCAGCTCCCACCTCCAGCTCCGATATATGAACCACCACCACCCACCGGGCATCCAGATCGGCTTGGCAGGGGGCTGTGCCAAACAGAAAGAACTCGGGGCTTTGGTGGGGCGTCTCTGTCCTTTGCTCAGAAAGTGACCTGAGCTCTGCGGGACAACCAGGAGGCGAGGAGAGCGCGGTGACCTCCTCAACCCCTCCACCTCCCACCCCCGGCCCCGGGGGTCCAGCCTGAGTTTGGAGGTCCCAGCAAAGGGGCGGGCGGGCGCTGACCCCCCACTATCGTGGCTTCTCCAGCCTTCAAGCCTACCTCCTCGGCAGGTGAGCCCCCGGAGCATCTCCGTGGCCGCAGACGCGCTCTCCCGCAGCCTCCGGCTTCTGCCGCGGGGAGGCGAGGGCCGGGGTCGCAGCCCCCGCCGCGGGGAGGGGCGGGCACCGCTCCGGGAGCCCAGACAGAATCAGTCTCCACCCCCGCAGCGAGGCGTGTTTACAAAGTCTCCGCCGGGCCGGGGCTGCGAGTTGAAAGCTGCGCAGGAAGTGGGGAAGAGGGGGCGGGGGAGACAAAGGGGGCCGGC